ACATTAATATTAATATCAAGAGCCCCTGACCTTTACGAATTCAACAGCCATTGTATTCTTGTATGTTTAACTATTTTTTACCACGTATAGTCAACACACTTTTTCAATACCTTTTTTGACACGTAAAATCAAACGGCAGATCAATGAAGGTGTTTTTAATGTTTTTGCAGCGAAGGTTCAGCACTAATTCGACCGGAGTTAGCATGAGACCTTCCGTCATATACCAGTTATCATCCATTCAGTCTCTTCAAGTTTAAAAATCCATATCTCATGTTAATGTAATCCGGCATTATATACACCAACACAGGTTCACAAAGGTCTGCCCCACGATATTACATATTTATTCAAACAAAATAGTTAAAACCAATCCCAGCCAGAAGTAGTACTGTACTTTAGTAGAACAAGGAGTATCACAAACCACTATATAATTCACACCTTACCTATGTGTTGTACAGAGCTTCATTGAGCACAGTCAATTTTAAAACCCTTTGGTTCACGTCGATACAATGGTCATTCAAACTATGCTTATCCAACCAATCCAGCCCCCATGTCCCTAGCGACATAGACATCATCACGTGAAGTGGTATTTGGGGCTGAAAATGTTGGCATTCATCATTTATGTGCTCTATTCTCAGCAGCAGGGCCGGAGTGGTGACCTTTACCGCCATCACTTCAACGTCCAAGCCTCTACTACGCCGCCATCACATTATCTATTGCCCTGGTGTTATCTGCCGTAGCTTAACATTTTGTGGGTGTATCGCCGTCCTGTACTGCCAGTTATTCCTGTTTACTGTCAGACTTAATGGTTGTTTATGGTGGTGACACTACCCTACAGTGTTGTTTATGGTGGTGACACTACCCTACAGTGTTGTTTATGGTGGTGACACTACCCTACAGTGTTGTTTATGGTGGTGACACTACCCTACACTGGTGTTTATGGTGACACTACCCTACACTGGTGTTTATGGTGACACTACCCTACACTGGTGTTTATGGTGACACTACCCTACACTGGTGTTTATGGTGACACTACCCTACACTGGTGTTTATGGTGACACTACCCTACACTGGTGTTTATGGTGACACTACCCTACACTGCTGTTTATGGTGACACTACCCTACACTGCTGTTTATGGTGACACTACACTGCTGTTTATGGTGACACTACCCTACAACATACACCATAAATAATATCGTAAAGGGTTATCACAATACACCTTCAGTGACTCAAGTGTGAGTTTTACTTCCATGGGTGTAATATACTGTACAGTACCTATGAGTTATAATATTGTTCGTTGTGACCGGATATTTAACTCAAGCTGTGTTTCGGAAACCAAAGAGCTGAACACTAACATAACACGGCGACATCCCTCTAGTGGAGTGTGAGGTGTTGAAATGATCATTCAATGTGCATTACAGTACCAGGTATTACAACGACTTATGGGCACTGCTAGAATCTAAACATCTGAATCTTCCCTCTTTCCCCTGCCAAGAATGTTCCAGCTCAACCATTACCTTCCGGACACAAATTCTCTCCCTCAGTGCAGCGTCAAGCAACAGCTGGCATAATAAAGCGGGAGTAGTCCTCGGACAGTGGTACAGGCAACTGGAGTATGATGGTGCAGATCGATGCGTTGTGCTGTGTTCCGCAGTAGCGCCCTTCGTCCTCGTCACCCAACATTTCGGCCTCGCTCCACTAACACCCCCCCCACCCCCCTCCTCCCCCTGGATATAAACTGTGTCCTCGCTCTGACAAAAATGAACATCCTTGCTCTATCAACACCGTTACGTCCAGGTCATATCAACAAAATCCTTTCACCCCCAACAACACTCTTCCCTCCTACCTATGTCTACACTGTCAACACCCCGGCCTATGCCCTCCTTCGCTTAAATAACAAAACACCATAGCCGTCAGCAGTGTATATATAATATTGAGCCTATCAACGACACTCCAATCAGGCAACATACACAAACTATCCTCGCCCATCAAACGCCATCCTTGCCCCATCAACACACTATCCTATCCTTGCCCCATCACTTGTACCATCAATGCCCCCATCAATACACTATCCTTGCCCCATCAATACACTATCCTTGCCCCATCAATACACTATCCTTGCCCCATCAATACACTATCCTTGCCCCATCAATACACTATCCTTGCCCCATCAACACACTATCCTTGCCCCATCAACACACTATCCTTGCCCCATCAACACACTATCCTTGCCCCATCAATACACTATCCTTGCCCCATCAATACACTATCCTTGCCCCATCAATACACTATCCTTGCCCCATCAACACACTATCCTTGCCCCATCAACACGCTACACGCTAGAGACAAAGGAAAACGTACGATGTGATTGTAATAATTATCCTCACTTTGGCGTGACACTGAAGTCATTAATAAAGACGGTTACATTTTGCCATACAAGTCCATATGTAAGATGTTATAACACAGAAGGATATCGTACGTTTTGTTATTGTTTCCGTTATTGTGTTCTTCCTGTAGCTGCGATAGCTGTTGTATTGTCGAAGTATTTCTATGAAACTTAGTAGGAAAATTGATTCTCCACGAACTTGGACGAACTTGGTGAAATACGAGACGTGATTATTGTAACTAGTGACTGAGAATGATGGAGGATATATATATGCCCTAGGACACAAGACCTTAGGCACAGTCATGCACCGTCATCCTTGAATCTCTTAAAGTCACTTGACCACCTCGATTCATCTTGACCTAATTTTCTAACACTTCTCAATGTTGGGTCACTCCTGCATTAATTCGCAAAGGCCGACAACACTAGCCAATAGTATAGTCTCTTGTACTTACTAATACTGAAGTAGAAAAATGCGGAGAACAAAACAACACTCAGAATAAGACACTAGAGGCACAGTTAAACGAAATACAAACATACTAGTTGTAATGGTAGTATAACAGAGGTACATTACGAGTATGGTACACGGCTGTAAGGTGAGGGGGTGATGACAGTGTGAGGAAAGAGGTGGGGACAATGAGAGTGGGTAGGGAGGGGGGGTAGAGGGTAACGGTGGTATTGGTGATAATGTTGTGGGTTGTGGTGGTGTAGGTGGTGGTGGTGGTGTAGGGTGTAGTGGTGGTGGTGTATGTGGTGTGGTTGTGGTGGTGTAGGTGTGGTGGCTGTGGTGGGTGGTGGTGGGGTGGTGGTGGTGGTGCAGGGTGGTGGTGGTGTGGGTGTGTGGTGGTGGTGGTGGGGTTATGGGTGGTGGTGGTGGTGGTGGTAGTGCAGGACGAGTGGTGGTGGTGGTGGTGGTGGTGCAGGATGACTGTCTAAGTACAGGTAGGCTGGCAGGCTGCAGGACTGTTTGAAGTGTAGATAAAGGTAGACAGAGAGTAACGTAGGTGGTAGGGTGTTGCGACAGACTGGTGGTAGGGTGTTGCGACAGACTGGTGGTAGGGTGTTGCGACAGACTGGTGGTAGGGTGTTGCGGCAGACTGGTGGTAGGGTGTTGCGACAGACTGGTGGTGGGGTGTTGCGCAGACTGGTGGTAGGGTGTTGCGGCAGACGGGTGATAGGGTGTTGCGGCAGACTGGTGGTAGGGTGTTGCGGCAGACTGGTGGTAGGGTGTTGCGACAGACTGGTGGTAGGGTGTTGCGGCAGACTGGTGGTAGGGTGTTGCGGCAGACTGGTGGTAGAGTGTTGCGACAGACTGACGGTAGAGTGCTGGATACAATGACAATTATAATATGGAGAGGACTGGAAACTAATACAAGGGCTGAAGTCAGGGTGTATTGGAGGGCAGTTAACGATCAACAGTTGAGTCGATTTACAAGAAAAATTGACAAACCTGTGTGTGTGTGGACAAGAGACCGGGGTGGAGCTATGGGCGGGGAGGGTGTGTGCTGGGTGTAGTTCAGGGTGTGGAAATGAAGGGTAAAGAAATGGTACAAGTCAGCGTGCTAGACAGTCTGGCCAAAGAGTGGGTAGAGGGAAGGCAAGGTGTACACGAGGTGTTGGTTATGGTGTACACAAGGTGTTGGCTATGGTGTACACAAGGTGTTGGCTATGGTGTACACAAGGTGTTGGCTATGGTGTACACAAGGTGTTGGCTATGGTGTACACAAGGTGTTGGCTATGGTGTACACATGGTGTAGGCCATGGTGTACACACGGTGTTGGCTATAGTGTACACAAGGTGTTGGCTATGGTGTACACAAGGTGTTGGCTATAGTGTACACAAGGTGTTGGCTATGGTGTACACAAGGTGTTGGCTATGGTGTACACACGGTGTTGGTTATGGTGTACACAAGGTGTTGGCTATGGTGTACACAAGGTGTTGGCTATGGTGTACACAAGGTGTTGGTAAAGGATAAAGGAAAGAACACAAACTGCTGGTCTAATGAAACAGGGTGAAGGAAGGTGAAGGAAGGTGAAGGAAGGTGAAGAACAGGGTGGAGAAAGGTGAAGAACGAGGTGAAGGAAGGTGAAGGAAGGTGAAGAACGTGGTCCAGGAAGGTGAAGAACAGGGTGGAGAAAGGTGAAGAACGAGGTGAAGGAAGGTGAAGGAAGGTGAAGAACGTGGTCCAGGAAGGTGAAGGAAGGTGAAGAACGGGTGAAGGAAGGTGAAGAACAGGGTGGAGAAAGGTGAAGAACGAGGTGAAGGAAGGTGAAGGAAGGTGAAGAACGTGGTCCAGGAAGGTGAAGAACGGGGTGAAGGAAGGTGAAGGAAGGTGAGAACGGGATGAAGGAAGGTTGGAGGCCAAAATGAAGAAAGGTGAAGGAAGGTAAAAAAGGGGTGAAATAAGGTGGAGGCCAGAGTGAAGGAAGGTGAAGGAAGGTGAGAACGGGGTAAAGGAAGGTGAAGGAAGGTAAAGAACGGGGTAAAGGAAGGTGAAGGAAGGTGGAGGGCAGGGTGAAAATCAGGATGAGGGCAGGGCATGATGGCGGAGGTGTCGGCTAGACGCAGTGTTAGCCATGGTGTGAGAGGGCCCCGTTCAGTAGAGAGAAATTAGTTTACCTTGGGCATGTTATCCGTGATCCAGCGTGGTCTTGTCGGTCAGGGAAGACTCTCCCATGACGGACTAGGCATCCATAGTGGCGTCGCCCACTCCGCCGGCACAACCTTTATCGCACTACTCCACCATCATCAACATGACCACACTGTGCGATAAACTCTACGGATAACTCCAACCCAGTTTCACTTCTTGATCACTTTCACCGTTACACCTATAAAGAAGGACTTGGTATGTCCTCTGGAATACAAAATAACACTCAGGTTCTACGATCTGATAATAGTGTAATTACCACATCCTAAGACCATTATTTAGTTTATATTCCTAAAATATCGCAATAGCCTGATCAATGGGGTGAATATATATATATATATTATTACCAATGGTTCACAACGTAGCCGTCCAGCAGCAGTTATTCACAGGTCTAAAGTCAGGCTCACAATGGAAGTGCCGAATGTTTGGCAGTGAGTTGCCAGGAGTGGCAGGGGAGATATCGTACCGCACGATACAAATTTATCGCATGTAAGACCTACTAAACGATCTTTCCAGAACGACGGTTGGTAATCTGGAAATTTTGTCATCTATATTATGCATTTCCATATTCATATCCATATATATAATATTTAAATAATGCTACATCTTTTTACGCTGAATATAACAAAATGGGAAGCTTTCACCTAACATTAAAGCTCTTAAGCAAAAGACATATGTTTAATGAAGAACTGAAGTATCATACTTTGGCAACCTGCAAGGGCAGAGCACTGCCATACGCACGAACACACCCTCTTGCGCAGCGCCACCACGCACACCCAGTCTCCACCCTTGGGGTCCATTGCACAATAATTCTACCTAATCTCGAATTTCTTATGAACAAATAAGAATAAAGAGAAGAGGCTGTGTATGTTACTTAACGGTGGTTCAATGAGTTGTCTTAGAAACCTAATAAATGTAAAATGTCAGGTTGCACTAATAGGCAGCATATTGCTGTTTATTTCTTATACACGTAAGGTCACCTCAGTCTGTCTGCTAAGCACATGATGTATATATATTTTGTCACCAAAAGCTTCTCTTAATGTAAATATTTAATCACACACATGTACAGTACCTGTCCAAGATAACTCCCACTGCGCAAACATCAATACTATACTGTGGTCAGGTAGTTGTGCACTGTTAACGATCTTGGTAGGATTAGTGGCAAAAAATTAGAACAAAATAAAGTCATAGTTTGGTACACAAACGGACGAGTGCCAATGCTGACGTTGCTGGAGAGTGTAAAGTAGTGCCTGGCGCTAGCTGAGAGGAGTCTTGGGTAGAGTCCCCCACCTGTACACCACCAATTCTGCCCCGCTTAAATTTCAGAAGTGTTAATTATCCCGCAACGATATACTTTTGTACTTAGGTTAGGTTAGGATAGATCCTAACCTAACCTAACCATTTCTTAATATGTAAAGAAACTGAAATCCCTCATCAAGTCAAACCTGAACTATCTATCATTACTATATGACCTTAGTGTCTGCATTACAAAATATTATATTAATTAAACCACTATTTCGATTATTTCTGTACCTTGACAAGGAGTCAAGGTACAGAGGTTAGGTTAATCACGGTCTCTCCTGTATTTTACAGCTATCCACTTGGGCCAACTTGCGTCTGTCTTAGTTGTTGCCCAGCGGTATCACCTGTGGCTCACCTCTCAATGACACAATCACCCGGTGCCCTTATTCATATTCATAAAATTTAATAAAATTTCTAGTGGCTGCTAACCACTTTGGCAAAGCTTAAAGGAATAATTTGTCATACATTTTACAAGCTGATATATGTCACAGAAAAAACTGATTATTTTGGAAACGCATTTAACATGAAGAAACATATTTAGGAATTAGATTACAGCATATTTTTCTAATGCTTTTTAAGCGTCGCATGAGTCACTTAAGGTAACAAGAAGAAAGAAGCTGTTGCGATCAGAGTAACGTCGTAAGCAATGTACAGTATATCCTTCACTGTAACATACGATGAAGGTGATAACAAAAATTATCCAATAAAATTTCCTAAAACCATTGTAAAGAAATACATCAAACTAATCCATTTAAGTGTTTAGCAATACGTCCTTAAGATGGGTTAACTAAGTAAAGAAAACCATTTCTAACATATGGGTATGACCACTGAGCGACACACCGGGTACAGATGAGCAATTCACCTCCATATTGACACATTACCATTTCGTGTAATAATATGTACGACACAGTTATACTATTCCACACTAAACTGCATAAAAGTTGGGAAGATGAAGAGGAAAAAGAAAGAGAGATGATAAAAACATAAGAAAAAAGATAAACACTAAAATCCTCAAATATCTAATGATTTGTAAGTCATAAAAAACATCCCAGCAAACCAAGAAGGATAAATTACCACGATAGGAGAGCCATTTAAATATCCATCAGCTGGAAAAATAATTCAATCGACAACACCTAAATTCTGTTGTCCACCAAGATTGTCCAAGAACAATCGAAGAATAAAACTGAATGAAACAAAAGAGGCTTATACAGACGAAAATACACCATTATCTCCAAACTAATATAGTAAAAAAGACTAATAAAAGGTATGGATGCAAGAGAAGAATGATAACTCATCTATTTCAGTAATGTCTTGCAACACTGAGTAGAACTAAGACTGATGTGTTTACACCATACCGAAATAATGCCTTACACAACCTGAATCAACCCACTGACATCATCCCGCACTTGTTGACATCTAAGCCACCTTAACTCCTACGCCTAGCTCGCTTTTCTCAACAATCTGACACATATGGATTCAATTTATTTGTTTACATGGTATCGAAAACTTGACCTGAGATTAATGGATGTCGGCAGTTAACATGTTTCACTTCAAGTAACTTTAGGTCAGAAAAATAAGGAACTATTGAGCGATGTCAGTAAGGTAAAGTGCTCAAACAGTACTGTTGGGATGCATTTGGTCGGTAGAAAAACACATCTGGGACATTATGAAAACACATTGATAATGATGAATTACGTGTAAGCCTTAAAAACGTAAATAATCATTAACTAAAAATAACTATTTCATACCTATTAGGAAAATAATGTACAGAAGGTTTAAGTAATCTATTGATCATTAAGTAGAAATCCTCCTTAGTAAAGACTTCCGTAATTAACATTCTATATACCACAAATGAGCCCTTAATAGGAGCCTTAGAGTGGACCCAGTTTAGAACAATAAGCTTTATAAGTCATCCTGCAAAGTTTTATTCAACATAATTTTAAGTAGAATAAATTTTAGAATAGAGAGTTCATTGACGATCAAAATGGACTAAGAAAGGGAAAAAGAAAGTAGTGAAAACAAATGGAAAGGTAATAAGACTGGCCAAAACTTGAAGAGAAATATTTGAAATGTACAGACAAATAAAAATAAGATAACTTGGTCACATAATCAGGGATAAGGAAATAAAAATAAGATAACTTGGTCACATAATCAGGGATAAGGAAATAAAAATAAGATAACTTGGTCACATAATCAGGGATAAGGAAATAAAAATAAGATAACTTGGTCACATAATCAGGGATAAGGAAATAAAAATAAGATAACTTGGTCACATAATCAGGGATAAGGAAATAAAAATAAGATAACTTGGTCACATAATCAGGGATAAGGAAATAAAAATAAGATAACTTGGTCACATAATCAGGGATAAGGAAATAATAACAGATATATTAATGGTCAAAGTTGACGGTAGGAGGACCAGGAGAAGGAAGAGACTGGGATGGGTGAATGAGAATTAAAAACTCGGTCCCCAGAGAGATACAAAACCTTAGAGGATTGGTCAAAGACAGCCCGAGAACGTTTTGAATGGAGGACTGTGGTCACCAACCCTCAGATATGAAGACTGTACTCTGATTGATTGATTGATTTACCACACAGACCCAAATCCCAATTCTTTAGGCAATACCGATTCATGCAGTTGATGCTCCTTTGCCTTGTACTGCAAAAAATATACCTATACAATAGTTTGGTGTTTAAAGTATATTGAATATATAGGAAAACACGTCGCCAATGCAAGGGATATTATGGTCAAATTTAGTTATATATAAATGAAGCTGATTTGTTTTCCAATGTATATATGTGATGAATAAAAAAAAATCCCCTTTCAAATGTGTATATTACAAAATTTGACATTTCTAAAAAGATGGTCAAGTGAAAAGTAAATATCACATAGATATATATAGTCACCCATGTATGTAAGAGAAGACATCTTCCACGCACGCACACCGGGGAAACAATTAAACTACTACTACAAAAACAGGAACAGAATTATGCATAGTCTGCTGCACTTATAGCTAGTACACTGGTTGGCGCATTTTCTTAGATGTGGCAACGGTGTGTTTGTTTACACGTGGTATATCCAGCTGATAGACTTGCTACAATCTCTTAATTAGTGGTTAGACTAATGTGTTAAGTATATAGCCCTTCACCTTATCTGTTGCTGTTGATAGTATGGCGGTGGGGAAGCCCTCACAACTTGAAGAACCCCACCCCACCCCACCTCACCCCACCCCACCCCACCCCACCCTACCCCACCCCACCTCACCTCACACCACCCCACCCACCTCACCCCACCCCACCCACCCCCACCACCCACCCCTCACCCACCCCACCCACCCACCCCACCCCACCCCTCACCTACCCACCCACCCCACCTCACCCCACCCCACCCCACCCCACCCCTTGACAGAAAAGTGTACCAAAGGATAGTGTGGAGGGAAAGTTAGCACAGTCATGAAATTGTGTACTGATTGAGGTGTCTAACCCCTTATATTAGTTTACCAAGAGAAGTCACATAAGGTGCATGAGGGGAAACAACCAGATAAACAGAATGTTGTTCCTTGAGAAGATACTACGAACACATAAGTATAACAGGAAAAACTACAACCTTCACAGAATGATGAAATAGATAACGTTAACTCACTAGCAACCAAGCGTGAGTGGAGAATGTATTATATGCATATTATATGTGTACTAAATTACCAGGAAATGCTGCCACGTACATAGAATCTTGTACTAGGGCACATAAAGTGAGTACATCCAAGACTGGATGATCTAGGGAAAGTTAACACAAATCGAGGAGGGTACAACAGGCACTACAGACTGTACCAATAAAAGTTAACAAAGCTAAAATTTGGTTAACAAAATGGTACAGCATGGTAACATAACATCCATTAAATCGTGTGTCATAGGAAGTGGACATGACCACAGAACATTATACCAGGAGGTGTCAAGGTAAGTTTACACATTCATAACATGGTTTAGTATGGAAAGTTACTACTGTCATAGCATGGTTTAGTACATTACTACTGTCATACAATGGTTTAGTACATTACTACTGTTATACAATGGTTTAGTATGGGAAGTTACTACTGTCATAGCATGGTTTAGTACTTTAC